CTAAGGCACTTGACTGCTAACCAGACGGCTGGCGGTTCAAACCCACCAGCCACTCCTCGGAAGGAAGGTTGGGCAATCCTACTTCCGTAGTGATATTGCCTCGGAAACCCAAGGAGGGGTTGCTATGAGTCGGGGCCAACTCAACGGCAAATAACAACAACAACAATAACATAACTCTATGGATGAGGAATTTCTATTTATTTATCACAGTTAAGAAACTTGAAACTCCTAGTGTTCAGTAAGTGTATAAGGAGTATGTAGCTAAATCGGTAGCATAAACCCAGGAATGGCCAATTCTGAAACAAGACCTTCTAACCATTGTGTTGTACTTCTTCTCTGTGTCAGACACATAACAGATACTGAAATTTTTATCACTGTGCCAAAAATGAAGTGCTTATTCATAAATAATTTCTTGAAATTAGATATGCATGGAAGTTGGGATGATAGTTAAAATCTGATACCATATTATCTTTTTTGCATATTAATTTCCACTGAAAGCATATTAATTAAAACCATAAGTTAAACTCCTCTTTCATTTTCCCTAATTACAATATGGACTTATATATATATATATATATATATTTTTTTAATGCAGGAAATGTCCAAGATCTTATATAGTCAAGCATGGCTTAACAGAAATAGAGACTAATTAAAGATTAAATTGTTTTTAGAGAGATTAACAAAAGATATATCCAGTAGAAAAGAAAGAAAGTATAAGATTCTATGTTTCACATTGCTGTCATCTTAAATTTCCAGTGTTCTCTCTCTTCTGCATCACTCTAATGACAGCATTTTTCACTTCTTTGTTCCTAAGACTATAAATGAGTGGATTCAGCATGGGGATCACAATAGTATAAAAAATAGAGGCCACTTGGTCCTTTCCCAAATTGTAGGACTTACTTGGCTTTAAATAAGTAAAAATCATGGTACCATAGAAGACGGAGACTCCCAGGAGGTGAGAGGCACAGGTAGAGAAGGCTTTTCTCTTTCCTGATGTGGATTTGATTTTCAGGATAGTGGAGAGAATGGATGCATAGGATACAGAGATTGTGATAAGAGACACTATTAGTGTAGAGCCAGCAAGAATGGATATTATTATCTCAACATCATGTGTGTCAGTGCAGGACAGGACCGAAACTGGGGTAATGTCACAGAAAAAGTGATGGATTACGTTGGAGTCACAGAAATGCAAAGTGTTCATGGAAAGCACACTGAGAATGGAATCAATAAAGCCAATTGCATAGGATGCAGTGATGAGAGAGTGGCAGAGTGTCCTGGACATAACAACTGGGTATTGCAGAGGGCTGCAAATAGCTACATAGCGATCATAGGCCATTGACGAGAGAAGAAAACATTCAGCGGCAGCCAAAAAGATAAAAAAATACATCTGAGTGAAGCAGCCCCCGAATGAAATATGTGTTGTGGAAGTCAGTAAGTTCTCTAAGGTTTTAGGGGTAATGACTGTTGAGTAGCTAAGATCAAGGAAGGACAGATGGCTGAGGAAAAAGTACATGGGGGTGTGAAGCTGGAGATCCAGGCGGATTAGCAGTATCATCCCTGCATTCCCCAGCACAGTCACCAGGTAAATCAGGAGAAAGAGACTGAAGAGGAGCAGCTGCATCTCTTCAGAGTCTGTCAATCTCATGAGGATGAAGTCAGACACGTTTGTGTCATTCTTTTTACCCATAGTGTACACCTTCTTTAAACTGCAGGAGACTAAAATTGATACCTTGCATCAGTGATTTCAAATAGATTTTTGCTTATGAGTAAGCTTTTATTTTAAATAAATCACTTGTGTTTCTACAAAGAGATAATAAAGAATACTTTACAAAATATGACTGAATAAAGTCTTAATTTCATTACCTTATATAAACATGGGTGTTAAGCTGATATTGGAATATTACATAACAAAAATTAACCTACATTACAAAATTTGAATATGATTTTTTATATCCTCCATGCTTCCTTTTGTTAACATTTAATTCCCTTGAAAATATTATACCATAAGTGTTATTGTTATCCATATTTTAGATAACAATATTGGCATAGTAATTTAAGCAATCTTTGCAACATTGAGCTAATAAATGCTGACCTTGTGATTCCATCATGTTAGTTTTATTAGGAAATATATGCTCCTAACAGTATGTTCTTTGTTATAATTAATTTCAGCAGCCTGAGAAAAATTCTAGACATTCAGGAGCAGTGACATAAGCATAGTTTTAATGTATTATGTAATGTTGTTTTGTTTCTGGTATTATTTGATAGTACTGACAAATCAGAAATTTCAATCTTTGTGATCTTAAATATTGTATTAAAATTATAGACCACAGAAAATTCATTTATAAGAGACTCTGCTTTCTAAACTTGATCATTCAAACAATATTCATACTGAATCTTATATTTCCAAAATATGAACATTGTATACTACTGATTACAACCACTCTATTATCTGTTTCCAAAAATCCTAGCATTACATAGGGCAACATTTCAGTATAAGCATATGTAATATATATATATATAGGAGCCCTGGTAGCATAGTGCCTCGGAAACCCAAGGAGGGGTCGCTATGAGTCAGGGCTGACTTGATGGCAAATAACAACAACAACAACAACAAATATATATATATGTCTTCTTCTTACAATGTTCCTATTTTATTTGATCTGACCTAAAACAAACAAAAACTCTTAGCCAGCAAATTGATTCTAACTCATGTTGTTGTTGTTATGTGCCATCAAGAAGGACTCGAGTCATAGTGATCCCTCCTTGGGTTTCTGAGGTGGTATCACCACGGATGTAGATTGCCCAACCTTCCTTCCTAGGAGTGGCTGATGAGTTTGAACCACTAGCCTTCTGGTTAGCAGTCAAGTGCCTTTGGCACTGTGCTACCAGAGCTCCCAACCTGACTATACTGCCCACTTTTTAGAAGGTAAGAACTATTGATCATTGTAGCAAACCCAGTACCTAGCACTCAATAAATATAGGTAAGGTGGCACGGATAATGACATTACTTTCAAACATCTAAATAAAACAATTATTAAACTATGGGCAAACAAGGAAGGGCCATTATGCACACACAAAAATATAAACACAACTTCCTTCTCTTAAAAAGGAAAGATAAATTATATACTTGTGTTGCTTGAACATTTTTATAATGAGCAAGTGTGATAGTTGGAGTTTTATGTCAACTTGGCTGGATGACAGTTCTGAGTGTTTTAGGCAGCTGGGTGTAGTATTCCCCATGATGAGACAGGTAATCATCTCCAAGGTAGAATCTACTGTGTGCAGCAGAGTAGCTGCTTTGGGTATGTAGTCTGTTTCCTGTATATAAGAAACAGCTTTGGAAATGGTCTCTAGCTTACAGCACGCTTGGACCGGGCATGTAACCGTATTGTTGTTCAGTAGCTTGCCATGCTCTGCCGATCTTGGGGCTTTAAATGGACTTGAATTAATGGCCTGCCATATGGTTTGGCACTGTGCCTTTTTACTAGTCAACCTTGGTCTTGTCAGCCTCAGCAGCTAGCAGCTGAGTGAAGAAAGGCCTCCAGCTTCAGTGAGCTGGGGACAGGAGGCAGAGCTGAAGCCCAAGTTTGAGGGGCTTTAATCCACCCTTAGAACCTGGCACTTTGAACTCAGACTTAAAGCCTCTAAACTGTAAGAGAATGAACTCCTGTTTCTTCAAGCCATCCCTTTTGTGGTATGTTCTTGTCTGAGAGGTAACCAGAACAAGCAAGTAACTGCTTAAGTAAAGACATTTTTTTAAAGATTCCAAACCAACAAAGGGAGTGGGGGGGCGGGAAGGAGGCTGCAGAATTTTTCACTAGAAAGACAGGTTTCAGATCTAACTCACAGTGAGCCTACATGACAGAGTAGAACTATCCCATAGAGTATTGAAGTCTATAAATCTTTATAGAAGAAGACTACCACATCTTTCTCCATGGAGTATTTGGTGGATTTGAACTGCTGACCTTTTGATTAACAGCCTAGAGCTTAAACACTGTGCTACCAGGGCTCCTGGAGTTGACTTAAGACACTCTAGTTTTGAGAAGAATACTTACCATCAGCAAAAGGTGGTGGCAAGAATTCCTCCAACATTACTGTTGTAGAATTTTTCCAAGTTCAAATTTTCTTCCAAATAAAATATATAAGACATTCAAGGAGGTTAATATTTCTGTGATACAACACCCCTTCCTTTCCAGATGCATCATTTTTACACTTTGTCTAAACATTTTTTTTTTTTTCCCTCAAATAAAACAAATCAGCCTCCAAATTTGGTTCAGTCTAGACTAATGCACAATTCATAAGATAATTATTACCACTAAAAAAAATGCGTGCACGCTGATGGAAACATAAGTAGAGCAGTGTGTCTCTTTCCTTTCACCTTAATAAGTCCAGGGCACCTCATATACTGGGGATGGCTATGCCCAGCACTAGTCTTCAAGGGAATTTGCCTGGCACATTTCCAAGAACAAAAGTTCCAGGAATAATAGATTCATATTAGGCCTATAACAGATAAGCTACCTACTCCCTTATAAGCCAAATGATGAGGAGCATGGTCCTTTGTTCTTCCTTTATGATAACCTACATTGTTCTCTAGGATGTCAGGGAGACTCTCTCTTACAAACACTTAATTACTCTGTAACTCAAAGGCTAAATAGTTAACTACTAGTGGTAGAATAGTATATTTTTCACACTGAATTAATTTCTAAGGCCCTTGACTGCTAATCAGAAGGCTGGCGGTTCAAACCACCAGCCACTCCTCGAAAGGAAAGTTGGGCAATCCACTTCTGTAGTGATACTGCCTCGGAAACCCAAGGAGGAGTTGCTATGGGTCAGGTCTGATTTGACAGCACATAACAACAACAACAACAACCATCATAAGACTAGAACATGTTCATTAGAAAAGAATTGGGATGCAACATCAAAAGAAAATGAACTCATTCAAACTGTAGTAAATACTCTGATGTATTTTATTCCATTTTTTTTCTTTGTGCATAAAATGTTTGTTAATATGAAGACTTACATATTGCACTGATTCATATACTGTATATTCAATATCTTCTCTTCAGTTATCATACACTTTCACCTGTATCCGAGTAGCCTTTTATGAAGCACACTATTTCATGTATTATCCATTGACTGGTGCCCTGTAGCTAACTTGCCTCCAGGAGCAGCCATCAGCAGATGAGTAGAAAGTTTGAGACACAAGGCAAGTGTGACAATGTTGTCCATTCAGATATGGCAGTGGAACTGAATTCACATACAGAGAAATTTATGAGACTAGTTCTACCAATTCTGTGTACTTAGCTATTGTTTTATAAAAATAAAAATAAAAGAACAAACAAAAAACAGATTCTGAGACTAGTAAACCTTTTAAAATAATACATTGTGAAACCCTTATTATATTATAAATAATATTATTCCTCTGATCATGATCAGATCCATGCTTCTTGATTACACAGAGATATTAATTAGTATGTGGTAAAAAACTAGTGTTTTATTATAGATTATTCATCCAAGATGAAGAAACAAAGAAATCTTATGAAAAAAAAAATTAAACTCAAAATCAGAGTAAAATATTCTTGTGAAACATGTTGCTGGTATCTAGAAATACAGTTAATATTTGTATATTTATTTTATCTTAATATATTGTGATATTCATTTATTGTATTTTATACTACTTTGTGGATTCTGCAATCAGGAATAAAATAATTTTACTTCTTTTCTTATCTGCGTATTTCTTCTTTCTTCCTTTCTTTTTTTAAACTTTTTGTTTCAATTTGTTGGGCATATTTTCTGTAAAAATCTTTTAAAGTGTTAAAAGGTAAAGATTCCAGTATGAGGCTAAGGTGCTCCTGAACAAAGCTATGGTATTTTCAAAGCTGAACAAAGAATAATGAAGACCAGACAAGAATTGATGCCATTGAATTATATTGTTGGGGAAGAATATTGAATATACCATGGACTGCCAGATGAAAGAAAAAAAAAATCTATCTTGGAATAAGTACAATCAGAATGCTCCTTAGAAGCAAGGATAGTGATATTTCATCTCATGTATGTTTGCACATGTTATCAGGGGGTATGAGGTCCAGGAGAAGGACATCATGTTTAGTAAAGTGGAAGATGAGTGAAAAAGAGGAAGCTTCTCAACAAGACATGTAGGCACAGTTGTGGAAACAACAGGTTCATCATAGCAATGATTGTGAGGATGCTATGAGACCAGGTAATGTTTCATTGTGTTGTATGTAGGTTCACTATGAGTTGAAACCAACTTGACAGCACCTAGCAACAACAAAAGAAACATATAAATATATATTTGATCTGACAAGAAAGAATGTGAATAAAATTTATATGGCCATGCAACATGTGTGTTTTAAATATGATGTTGCTTACTCTGCATTTTCTCTCTTTTTTTCTGATGAGACTAAACTGTACTCATCAGACTAGACTGTAGAGGTAGTGGTACATGAAAGTTCTTCCACCATGCAGAAGGAGACAATATTTTGGAAGACAGAAGAGCAACAACGTGGAGAAAACCTGGGTCCATGGATATCACTGCATGGACTAGTCACCCACAACCCTAGACAACTAAACTCTGCATAATTCTATGCAAGGTTAATTCTTTTCTCTTCATTTAGCAACTTTGATTTTCAATCCCATTGTTACACCATAGCCTGTACATTGACTAAT